CCATAGACAGATCTCAGTTGTGAGGTGAGACCTACGGTTGTCCCTGCATGCTATTGGACAACGAACAACATGACATACTCATCGCTACAGACGTCAGTAAACAGGTCAATCCACTATTTTGTCAAAGAAGACAAAAATTACATCCTTTTTCTAAATGAACGTAATGACTAAAAATATTGCCCTGCCATGCAAGATAATTTAGCTCTGGATGATCTGTAACCTTTCTGATAAAAATGTCATAATTCTGCCAGAATAATAATTTTCATGGTGTGATAACGACACTTTTCATCATTAGAGAATGTGAGAATTAAACTGGAGCAAATTATCAGAAAAAAAACTTTTTAGAAAGCAAATATCTGTGGAATTTGGACAAACTGTAGTAAATAAAGGTGTGTAAATTGTTCTGATGCATCTGTATGAGGTGAAAATCTTGCATCAAACAATTTTCGCTGTTTTCATTCGGCTAAAAGCCTCCTAAAATATGATTAAATGAGACTAAGTTGTCTTTTTTGTGTTTGTGTATGTGGTATGTGTGTGCATTGTTGCAGGCCTACAAGTGTTTGGTGATTTTTCAAGTTGAAAAATGAAAAAAAAATTCTAAAAATTTATTTTGTTGCATACTATAATGAATCACTGACAAATAATGAACATTTTTTTAATCTTGTCATTATTTTGGATGGAGAAACGTTGACATTTTGGCTGAAAATGGATTGTCGGCAGCTAAATGTAAAAACAGAAGCTTACTGCCCTCTTGTGACAGAAAAAGCTTTCCTGATGTAACAAATAAAATAAAACCCGAAACTGTCTCACTTAAATGTTTCCATGCCTTCACAGCAGATGTGCAGGGAATGTTCTCAGGCGTGAGGCCAGGTATTAGTTATATTTCTTCCACAGAAGTCCCTGGAATATATATAGCTTTAGTTTCACTTTATTTTACTACTGCAGATAAAAGGCAGCAATTATTTTAATGACCATGTTTCTCTGTGAGCCAGTAGATCTTCACAGCAAGAAAGAGAATTGTAATCTTTCAGAGTCAAAAAGTACAACTAATTTCATTTGTTTAGCTATTTCAGCAAGTCACTTTGTTTAAATGAAATGCCGTCATTGTTACACCTGTAATTTATACCGTGAACAGCTTCAGTCCTTTACTGTAAAGAAGAAGTTCTTCTGACAATTTGGAATCTGGAAATTTGACATTTCTGATTGATGCATTTTTCAACCTTTCATTATTAACTTTGGACTTGTGTGTTTAGTGGCATCTCTGTTGGTTTCAGAGGTCAAAAGTTATCCACAAGTTTCAGATCAACCTCCGAAAACATCAGTTATAAAGTTTAATTGTGAAGATTTTAGCCGTGAGACAATAAACCATTTAAATGAGGAGGTCTTCTTTGACTTTTATGATATTTTCTTGTTTTTAACAATAATCAACAGTTAAACAAGTTCAATCTTATTGTGCCTAAGTTGTTTCATGTAAAAAGAATTACATTGTGACATATGACATTTTGGCTTAATATAATTATATATAGCGATTAGGCTGCCCTTTGTCACCGATTCAGTTCATAACCTTTATGTACAGGATTTCTAGGCGCAACCAAGGTGTTGAGGGCATCCTTTGATGGCCTGAGGATCGGGTCTCTGCTTATTGCAGATTATGTGGTCCTGCTGGCTTCATTGGAACGTTCGCTGGAGCAGTTTGCAGTTGAGTGTGAAGCAGCTGGGATGAGAATCAGCTCCTCTAAATCTGAGACTATGGTCTTGATTCGGAAAAGGTTAGAATGGCTTCTCCGGGTTAGGGATGAGGTCCTGCCCCAAGTGGAGGAGTTTAAGTATCTCTGGATCTTGTTCAAGAGTGAGGGAAAACTGGAGCGCGAGATTGATAGGCGGATTGGTGCTGCGTCTGCAGTGATGCGGGAGTTGTACTGGTCTGTCGTGGTGAAGAGAGAGCTGAGTCAGAAGGCGAAGCTCTCGATTTACCGGTCGATCTACGTTCCTACCCTCACCAATGGTCATGAGCTTTGGGTAGTGACCGAATGAAGGAGATCGCGGAATGGCTGGGCTCTCCTTTAGAGAAACGGTGAGAAGCTCAGTCATCTGGGAGGGGCTCGGAGTAGATTTGCTGCTCCTCCACGTCAAGAGGAGCCATTTGAGATGGCTCGGGCATCTGGTCAGGATGCCTCCTGAAAGCCTCCCTGGTGAGGTTTTCCGGGCACGTCCAACCGGGAAGAGGAGACCCAGGACACGTTGGAAAGACTATGTCTCTCACGTAACCTGGGAATGCCTTGGGATTCCCCCGGGAGAGCTGGCTCAAGTGGCCGGGGAGTGGGAAGTCTGGGCCTCTCGACTTACGCTACTGCCCCCGCGACCCGACTCCGTATAAGCGTATGAAAATGGATGGATGGATGGATGGAGATTCATCAGGAAATTAAATTAAACATAACATTTAAAATGGATTTCAGCCTGTCAGTGCTTTGGTAGTTTGATATGTGGGCTGTACATAAAAACTCCTTCTAAAACAATTCATCATATCAAATAGAAACTGATCTGCATTGTATTTTATTTTGAAAAAAATTACTATGGTTAAAGTAAAACATACTTTAATTACATTTGTGTTATAGATGCAATAAAAAATGATTTAATGACTCCAGTGTGGCCCAAAATAAACATCAGATCTAACTGATAATGTTTGTGACACAAACTAAAATCAAAACAATCTAAATATACTAATGTGAAAGTAAAACTTTTATTGAAATTAAAGCCCTGATATAAAAGTATTTGACAGGCTCTGTCTGTAACAACACGTGTTGTTTTGGATGTTATTAAAACAAATTCAGTGGAGGCAACAAACCATCATAAAATGAGATAATTACAGCAGGTGAAACTCCTGGAAAAGTTTGGCTTTTACATAGTTGATCAGTTATGGCTTTTATTATCTCGGGGACTGATCCTGACTGAACCATCAGGCACTGGTTTAAAGGTGATCTGTAGATCATTTTAAAGGATACAACTAGTTAGTATCCAAAGTTTGTTTTAAAAACAGTGACAAGAATACATTTCATTTGTTCAAAAGCAAAACTAAGAACTAAATTCAACATCCATTACATTTAGAACTACAAGCTACACCGCCTGCCAGAAAAAAACACCATCACAAGAAAAAGGTCACACACACTAATATTTCAATTTGCTTTTATTACAGCACATTCGCTGTGACATTGTTTTGATAAGTTTCTACAATGCCACCAGGTTTATTTCCATCCAGTGTTGCATTAATATTTCACCAAGATCTAGAGTCTGACTGTTGCACAAAGCCTTCTCCAATACATCCCAAAGAGTCTCAATGGGGTTCAGGTCTGGACTCAGTAGTGGCCAATCCATGTGTGAAAATCATGTCTGCTCCTTAAACCACTCTTTCACATTGAAACCTGACATTATCATCTAGGAATATGCTAGTGCCATCAGCGAAGATGGAATAACCTGGTCATTCAGTATATTCAGGTAGTCAGCTGACCTCATTCTTGGAGCACATCCTGTTGCTGAACCTAGACCTGACCAACTGCAGCAACCACAGATCATAGCACTGCCCTCACAGGTTTGTACAGTAGGCACTAGGCATGTTGTGTGCATCACATCATCTGCCTCTCTTCTTACCCTGATGCACCCATCACATGGAACAGAGTCCATCTGAACTCATCAGACCAATTAATAATGTGTTGGGAAGTCCTTAACCCAATCTTAAGTCATTTCTCCTTAGATGTTTTCTCTGCATGATGCATACCAATAATTTGACCCCACTTAAACATCTTTTCCAAAGTAAAGCACTTTGGAGTCCTCTGACTCTGAAAGGTGCTACACAATGTGGGTCGTTTATCATTTCTTTAGTCTTGTTGAGGAAGACCAACCTTCTGTCTGAAGAAAGAGGGTGAACAGTTCTGTGCTAATGAGATCCTCCATTGTCTTTGCTCTGATTGTGCATCTGCTGGAGGAAATGCCCTCCAATGAGGAGAGGCAGCTGTTGGTAATTTTATTCAGCAGGTCTAGCCCATCTTTGCAGCACCTTCTTGTAATCCCCAAAACAAAACAGATGTTCATGCTGTAATTTTTTAGGATGGAAGATAATTTATTCAAAATAATAATAATGCATTTACCATTGTCTGCCATGGTTTCTAAAGCTTGATCAATCCAAATAAGTCTAAATTTAGACCTGATTCTAACTTATAACATTTTTAGTTGCCTCAGATACATAAAAAATATATAATTTTATAATTTTACTGGTTAGTCTTTGTGAGCGGCTCAGTTTAAGCAGCTGGGTCCTTTTGTTTGCAAAGATCCTTCTTAAATGCTTAAAACAGATTTTATTGACACAGAAATCCAATTTCGGCGCTTTAATGCCGTTTGTGCCCTCTGGATCAGAAGTCTGCGCTTTTTTACAAGCGTACTGTTTATTTATGCATGTGTGCAGCGCAGCAGCAGCGCCAGTGAGCACGTAGGAAAACTGACGGGGGATTGCCAAATCATTTCCTTGCTTGGGAATGACGTCCATCCTCCAGCACATTCCAGTTATATTTAGAGCCTATATATAGTGGAGTCGCCCCGTAGGCTTTGTTGACTCTGCGGCGCGCTGCAGCGGTAGCAGCGGGTCTCGCTGGAGGACACGAAACCCACTCTACGTGACCTGAAACTTATCAGTGTTGTCCGATTTTAATAAAAATGCAAGCACAAACATTCCGTTTGGTTTTAGTTTAGATGCAACAAAAAGAAAACACCGGTTTACTTGAGATATGGGAGTTGGAGAATGGGCATAGTTTGATATGACGAGGATCTTATCAACATATGGGTAATAATAAAAGAAACGAGCGTATTTTCGGGATCGTATTGCGACACACGCTTGAGTGATTTGACCCAGGCCGGTTGAAATCCACAGCTATGGTTTCTGGGTAAAGTAAGCCCTGGTATCCGCCCATATTCGCGTAACGCAGCAGGCCACACTGAGCAGCAGCGGCTAGGCCGAGGGGAAGCTGGATCTCATCAGATCAGATGGAAAGTTCAATCGATTAATTCGCCCACTTTATTTATTTTCCTTCCCCCTCTGCATGCTCCCGGTTGCTCCCGAAACCACGCTAGACCGACTCGAATGCGGGCTTTTTGGTGAGAAGTAGGAAATGCAGAGATCGTGTGAAGCGAGAGGATTATCTGCTTGACTTCTTTGGTCGCTACTTCAGACGCGGAACTTCACTCGCTAAAAGGTAAAACAAGCGCATAAGACGCATTAATGGCAGACTTTAGCATGTAGCCTTTGCGGAATTTCACTGTCTAATAAAACTAAGTTATTATGCGTTATTGAAACACTGGGCAGCCTCCCTGTAGTCAAACATGTTCGTTTTTGGCTAAACTACGCCCAGTTAACCTACCGTCTGGCCCTACATTGCAGAGCTTTAGCTAGCTTGTCGATAGCGGCTTCTCTTCCCGTTTGAATGGATGACAGACTCGGCTCAGACACACTGAGCTGACAGAACAATAATATCGGCTAGCCTTTTTTTAATTATAAAACACAACGGGAAAGTGCGCAATACTTTATTTTTTAACAGTAATTAAGTGTGAATGAGCGATCTCCGATGCTAAGCTAGCTAACATCAGCAAAGTCGCCTGAAGTACCGAGGACGTTTTCTTCTAAACTATTAAGGATAGAAGATTTAAATCAAACTCCTTTCCACTTTTATGCGCACCCTAGGGGCTCCTGCCTTCTTGAAGTCACTAAAGAACTTCCTCTGATTCCTCACAGGTAGCAAACTGTTTTCCAAGTAGCATTTTTGTTTATATGGCTGCTAATCAATCCCCGCATTAGCCCTCCAATCGGGGCTGCGCTGAGCTATTGAGCCATGTTCTCCAATGTTGTTGATGTATTAAGAAAAGAAACCACTCCACCATGCTGGCACAGACGCCTGGAATAAACTTTCAGTTTTTCAAAGCCGCACCATAAAAAATTTCCTGCAGTTTCAGGCGGTGAAAGTGAACTTTACGACTTATACGACTTACCTGCTGCTTTTTAGACGAGGCTGTGCTCAGCTTTTTGCACCCCTGTTCAGTTGCATTTGCACAAGACTTTCTGAAAGGTGAAAATATGCTTTAGATGAACATTTTCCCACACGTTTATTTTCTGATTGATATCTAAAAACATCACTTCATTTGCATTAATATAAATCTGTAACTTGCTGGTTAAAAGAACAAAACAAAACTTATTTGTTGTTTTCATTGTCTGAGCTCTGCAGACTTTCATCAGTTTGCGCTGTAACTTCTGAAAAGGCCAGCTGCAGCCATCGATCCACAAAGAAGTCACACACCAGAGCTTCACAGCCGCTTGTCAATTTTGAAGCTTTAATGTAATATTATGGATTTATGCCTGTGGTTAGTTTTAGTTGTAGAGGGGACAGTCATTGTGCTCTTTTATTCTGAGACTTGATCACATTGTGCTCTTTTATTCTGAGACTTGATCACATTGTGCTCTTTTATTCTGAGACTTGATCACATGGGCAAAGTTTTTCTCCTAATCCTTTTTTTTAGCTCTCTACTCAATTATTTCTCATCTTGAGTCTGGTATTTCCCCCCAGAATGATCAGTAATTATACAAATTGAGTTTTTGTAGAAAAATAGGTTTTTTATCATTTAGTTGATGGTTTTCTGAAATCAGATTAATTAAAATACAGGTGTTCCCTTATTTTAGCTTAACCTCTGTTTGATTAATGATCATTTGTTGTGATTTCACGGTTTGTTCTCCCCTCAAGCGCTGTAGTTGATTACTAAAATAACCTTTCATAAAACTCAACTGTGTAAAATCAAAATTTCCAGTGAATCAGCAATGTTTTTCTGCCAGGCCGGAGCACACAGATTTCAGTTTATCAGACAAAAATAACAGACAGGAACAGGATCAGAGATTCTGCTGGAGGGGAACCCTTGAAAATAACCCTTTTTATGTAGAATTTAGAGCTTTTTATGATTATTGAAAGAGATCATGTATAGTTTTACCATTAATCTCTGGAAATATCCATCAAAATGCTATTTAAAATTAATTAAATGATGCAGAGTTGTTGAAAAATATTGGCGGCTTTGTAACATATAACAATAAAAATCGGGTCTAAAATACATGGGAGCGGGTCTAAAGCTCTGGGCGATGCCATGTTTCCTTCTACGGGAGCCCGTGAGGACAAAATGCATTTACTGATTTGTAACAAACGGTTACAAAACTTTCACCATTCATAAACGTTGTTTTACACATTTACCTCTTCGCTCATTGCCAGTGATAAAAGCGGAGCGTAACTGCTGTTCTTCAGATGAACGTTGATTTTATACGAAGAGGAAGTTTAGCACAGTTAAAATAAATTGTATTACTTAATCACTACAAGAACGTACGGGGAAATCTCTATGGTTGACCAAATTTGACTTGAGGAGAGATGTAGGAACACTGTAATGAGTTAATGCTGTAACATTTGAGCACAAATGAGACAAATATTCTTTATTTTGTCCGGCAGGTGAAACATGACAGAATATAAGCTGGTTGTAGTGGGAGCTGGTGGTGTGGGCAAGAGCGCGCTAACTATCCAGCTCATCCAGAACCACTTTGTGGATGAATACGACCCCACCATTGAGGTAAACATAAATGTGTGTTCTTGTTAACTGCACTTCCATGTCAGGAAGCAGGGATGCAAAAATAATGAGAAACTCTTTTTAAAAGCTTGTAACTGGCTTTACTGGTTTTGGGTTTTAAAAAGACACCAAACAGGTTTTTAATGACTTTTCATGCTTGGCTCCTGGCCAAGCTCCGCAGTGCCAGCCACATGCAGTGTGAACAATCTCATCATGATTTCAATCAATTATTGAAACGCCGTGGCAGGTTAGCGCTCTACCATGAATTACCCAGACACCAGATAGCATCTGAAAGTATGGCAGCTCATTGGATTCGTCTGTAATTATTCCTGTTGGATCCAATTGATGGCAGCCATCTGCGTGATGGAAAAAGGGCTTTGACAGGAACCTCTCTGTAATTTGAACTCTTCTAGAAAGCAGAGTGCCCCGCTACAACTAGAAAGGGGCGATAATGAAGCTGCGTCCCGTGGCATCTTTTATGTAAACATGTCATCAGAGACATTAACACAGTCGGGGCTGAGCAATTAAAAATGTGTATCATGTTTTTCACGAATTAAAAAAGGTCAGTGAGATCATACCCAGGCCAGGAGTAAAAATCTAGCATATAAGTGAAGCATGGCTAACACTGTAAGTCCTGTTGTTGTTTTTTAAAAACCTCCTTGGTGTATTGGCCAGAATCTGGCGATATGATATATATCACTGAAAAGGGGAGATGATAAGATGACCTTTGATGTTAAAACCAGATTATATTAGTAATGTTAAAAGATGAATTTAACAGTTTATGCCACAAATCCCAATTTTGACACTTCCTGACATTTTAGTCAGCTGAATTACTTTTGGGCTGCAGTAACGGTAGTTTTCTCTAAAGCATTTTAAAAGAGATACTTAGCAACTTTTTCATATTTTTAAATCATTTTCTTGAGCCAGTATGTGCTAAAATGACCCTTTCCAGGGTTAATGAAAGGCCTAGCGCCCCCTGTGGCCAGAATATCCCACTTGCAGCTTCACAGTTGCCGGTCTGGTCTGTTGGAAAAAATGGGCGTGCATACCTGGCGCTGCAGTCTGCGTCTGTCACATTTCCTGTATTAACACAGCTGATTTGTTTAATTTAGTGATGAATCAGCACTCTAGACACTAAGGAAGGCTGGGAGGCGTTTCAGCTGTTAGATTAAGGTGTGTTTGTTTGAAAGTGGTTAATAAAGATTATTTTTAAAGTAGTACAGTCAACGACCTTGATGCGTTGTGGTCGATGACGCAATGTTCACTTTCCCAATTCGGCAATTGCTCACTTGTTTACCACACACGCAAAACCTTACTGCGCACTTCTACCAAGTGCACTTTGCTGAAGACCGTAGGGCGCAGTGTGAGTATTGGTATTTGGACCCTAGCTCAGTTAGCAACCCAAAACCGAAGCTTAACTACTCTTCAAAGTTATGAGTGTAGGTGCTAGAACTGTATGATTTTAAGATAAAGGTTGAATTGTGATTTCTATCTGAGAAATTGAGATTTCAGTTCAGTTATAATTTTCTTCCAGTCAAGGTTCAGCACATTATTCACAGTATTGTTTAATATATAATATATCATAAAATCTAATCATTAGAAAAACATCAAAAGCAATAATATTAGGCAGTTGTTATCAATATCAACCAATATTTTCTTACATCCCTATTCGACAGACTTTTGTAGATTTTGGTAGTTTATTTATTTATTTTTTGCTCTTTACGATCCCAGGATTCCTACAGAAAGCAGGTGGTGATCGATGGAGAGACGTGTCTGCTGGATATTCTGGACACGGCAGGTCAAGAGGAGTACAGCGCCATGAGAGATCAGTACATGAGGACAGGGGAGGGCTTCCTCTGTGTCTTTGCCATCAACAACTCAAAGTCTTTTGAGGACATTCACCACTATAGGTGAGTTAGGAGGAGGAACTAAAATAGTCATTGAGAGCAAACATCAACACAAGATGTAAGGAAAACCATGAAAATGTATTTTGAATCCTACTTGAATAAAAGTTTTTTGGAGTTTTTGGAACATAATCTTAAATGAAAACTATCATGTTTCATTAGAACTTTGTTAGCATAGAAACTCTGGTGATCAGTTAGATCATTCAGACTAACAAACCGTTTTATGTTGATTTAAAATCTGTTTTTGAACATTCAGAGAACAAATTAAGCGGGTGAAGGACTCTGAGGACGTCCCCATGGTGTTGGTGGGGAACAAGTGTGACCTCCCATCCCGAACGGTGGACACAAAGCAGGCTCAGGACTTAGCACGCAGCTACAACATTCCCTTTATTGAGACCTCAGCCAAAACGAGACAGGTGAGTGCCCACACAGAGCCTCCTCACTTGTCCACTGCAGGCCAAATTCATCTTTATCCTTTTAATTGATCATGTCGGAGAACGTCAGACCCCTGCTATGTTGACAGATGTCTTTTGGAGGGTTTCTTCAATTTGGCAAGAAATGTGATTGCATCACGTGGTGCTGTTGATTTGTGTCACTTTTACTATCTCTAATGGTCTTTTTATAATAACGTTGCTGGGAAATTTACCACCTAATGTGCTGAGCATCATTAAATCCTCTTTGGTTAATTGAATTTTTTATTTATGGGGGATAATGTGATCATTGCATGCTACTTTGTCATGGATATGTGAAATTAAATCATTAGGCCCACCTGCAAAGGAAGCGGCGCGATAAATAATCAGCAAATCAGTTAATTTGTGTCAAGGTGTCTGCATGAAAGGACAAACTGTCGGTAATTACTTAGCGGGTTAATGATTCTGCTTACTGGTCACTGTGACTGGGGGTTGGAAGGATAGCTGTGGTGTCTCATCCAGTGCTGTGTGTGTGTGTGTGTGTGTGTGTGTGTGTGTGTGTGTGTGTGTGTGTGTGTGTGTGTGTGTGTGTGGTGTGTGGTGTGTGGTGTGAGCATGGCCTTAGGAAGCTAACTGGCTGTTGGAGTGATCGCTAAACACATAAATTCCTGGTCCCTGACCCGGGGTGAATCACGGTGCCTTCTGGTGTGGGGGAAATTAATGCCATGGTGACTAATTTCTTGCAGCTTTGTTCACCTATCCCAGGGGTCGGCAACCTGTTCCCATCAAAGAGCCATTATTACCCGTTTCCCACAGTAAAGAAAACACTGGGAGCCACAGCAGCCACGGCGTTGTGGGCGGGGCCTACCCTCAGACAGCAGAGAGCTGCTTTAACCAATCACAACAGGTGACAGCAGCCAGTACCGGCCGCTCATGTACGTCAAAGTTATCTTTCATAAGACGATAATCAATAAAACGATTTATATAAAATGGATCCAGAAGTTGTAGCCCGTCTCTGCCTTCAATATTTAGATATTTTTCACCCTGTTGGTGGTTTTACTGAGCAGGTGCCACTTTTGTCATACGTTTCTTTTTAAAACATGTTTAGACTGTTCAGAATACAAATCCAGGCTCTGTCACGTTCGATTGTTGTAATTAAACTTTGTAGGTGGGGAAGGTCAGGAAAGGATCCGATCATTTTGTTTTTCCCTCATTTACAGTGACGGAGATAACGGTGCAGTGCGCCGGTGCAGTGCGCCTGGCTCTTGTGATAATCAAGTTAAATTACCGTAAATTCTCTAATACAGGCCCGGGCCTGTATTTGACTCAAGCTCATCAAGCTCCAGGCCTTTATTGGAAGGAGGGCCAGAATTAGAGGCAGGCCTCTATTTCTATTTGAGCAAAATGAACTAATGGTTCGCTGGAGTTTTTGACAATTAAAATTGCGCTCACAAAGTTAAACACATTTCTTTTAACAACGGTAGTTTCTGCTTCAGCCCTCTCCCCCCTCCCCCTGCGCAGCGGCCGCAAACTCACTGTTGCACCTGCAGCCTCTCGGAGTTCCTGCTGCTCCAAACATTAAAATAATTATTTCATTTTCTGTTCCTCACTTCTGATTACCTTCAGTGGTGTCTGTTTGTTGCAACCACCAGGTACAAAAACTAACTTGTTTTTATTTGACTATTTTTCTGTCCTGTCTGTTTATTATCTTCCTGCATCTTCTCTCAATCCTAAAGAAAAACTGCTACCAGGGTTCATATATATTCACCTTATGAGTTACCTTTGAGCTGCAGTTCTAAAAGATCTACCGACCGCAAAAACAGCGGAGTGCTTGGTGCTTGCCGGCCGCATCAGTGATCGGTGCGTCACCGGATGACCAGGTGATGCGCCCCGCTCCACAGCAGCGAAACACATCAGGCGCAAATAAAAGACAGAAAACATTAAAGGAAATAAACCGACATGAACGATCGCGTGTCAGTACCGACACTCTGGCACAGCGTGTTGCCCCCCCCCGATCGCAGGAGCTTGTCACCTGCTGATAGCAGGCTGCTGTCTTTTCCGAGGACTGCATCTTGCTTGTCATTATCACGTGACAGCGACTAGTCGATGACAGGCATAAAAAGTCACTATAGTGAAGTCGACTAGTTCATACAACCCCTATTGCTCCCCAGTGTTCTGCAGCGCACGTTCTCTTTGAACTTGATATCAAATTTTCGCCTCCTATTCGTCTCCGCACGGTTAAAGCCTCGCGGTCTATCACTGGCAAATCAAAAGTGAGACGATGACACAACCGCCCCCCGTACTTGCTTGTTACCACATTCCACCCGGCCACAATAAGAGACCGACCACTATTCACCTCCGCCGACTCCGACACCGGCCAAAATATGAGACCCGACCGTTAATTGAATACAGGCCTGTATTAGAGGATGTACGGTATATCTCTTTGCAACAATTTTCACAAGAAAACAGAACACTTAAAAGCAGGGCTTGCGTTGACCGGATAGTTCTCGTATTTGACCGTTTATTTTGACGGAGAAAGAATAGAAAGAATTACCCCGACGCATGCAGACGAACTGACATTTTATTCTACGCACATCGCAGATGTAGCTAAATCGCTCAAGAAAAGATTCCCATCTGAACATCTGAGCTGGACACTGCTCAGCGCAGCTCATTGTCAGCGCGTACGTACGGTCCACAGCGAGCTGAAGATGTGGAGAGGGGCTTGGAGCGCGTCGCAGAACCAGAGCGCATGCAGGAAGATTCCTCCGACTGAAGCGAGACTTGTCACTTAGAAAATGTTCCCTGATTATGAAACTTTGGCTGAATAGCGCTTGTTCCTGTCTCCAATGTGGCGACACATCCAGGAGCCTGTCTGAGGAGAATCCCAGAATCTCACATTCTCTTCAGCTCAGAAAGCTCCTATAGAGACGTCTGATTACGCACAAGCAGGTGACGCGTCAACCCGGTCTCACAGTAAGACCGGGTTGGACCTGTTCAGGTTTACGCAGACAATCTTTACATTTAGAATTGGCATACAGATGTAAAATTAATGCAGTAAAATATAAAGCATTTTATTTAAATATCCATTAATTATTTTACAAGCACAGAGAGCCGCATCAGATGGATGGAGGAGCCGCATGCGGCTCCAGAGCCGCGGGTTGCCGACCCCCGACCTATCCCTACCTGAGTGTAACAGTAATTTCTGTCCACATGGTGCTGCTTCTGTCCAGCAGGAAATTCACTTTCACTGGAAGCGACTGTTTTTTTTAATTATTTTTTCCACCCTAGTTTATTTCACATCATTTATTTTAATATCTCATGATTTATTTATTTTTTACCTATTGCACAAAATCCTACACACACACACACCTCGTATTTATTATTTAGTAAAATTTTACCTTCCGCAGGCTTGGAAAGTGGCGGGTTTGAAACTTGTTTTCTTTAATCTAAAGTTCCCAAAATTTCTTCATTCCTACCTTTTTTACTAGAAATGTTATTGAGGCATACTGTTTCAGTCATTTTCATATCTGTTTAGTAGGGTTAGAAGGATCCTTTTCTCAATCAAGTGTTTTATTCATTAGTTTACAGATTAATCAAACATTTTTAAACCTTTTTATTCTGTCCTAGAGTGAAATGCGCCCCTCCTCTGCCATTGGAACATAACTAAATAACAATGCAGGATTTTATTTCTTTATTAGAGAACATGCCCAGGTTATTTTTTTTAGAAAAAGTCAAATAGGTCTTGCATACACTATAAAATCTGATCAGTTGACTTTACTTGAAAAAGTATGCAAATCGATTGCACTTAAATAAGTACTCAGCTTTGTCCATAGTTTAAATTAGTTTCATATTTTTTAAAATACTTTAATAATTTCTATAACATTTTTTTCATGGTCAATAAAAGAATACTTGAAATTTATGCATAAATTTGAGTACAACAAGCCCCTGGACGGTCCCATCTGCTGGTAATATCTCAGCTCCTCGTTTGACATTTTCGGTTTCTTTTTCAAAATTTTGCTCCAGTTCATGATGGTGCATCTGCTTGTTGGTCTCATGACAAAGTTTAATTTAAGCTAGTAGTGAAAGCTGTTTTCTAGGAAAAAAATTGTGTTAGATTTTACAACAGGCATACATTAGATTATTTGGCGATAAAACTAACCATTTATGGAAGATATGAAGGTTGATGTCTATTAAAAGCATGTTAATGCTGTATACAAGGTATATTACATAAAGACTCGGCTAATTGGGCTGTTTTTGTCAGAGCTTAAAGGGAGATGACGGCATTGAAGTAGTGGTTTTATGTGTTAAATTTAGGGTTAGGCAATAAATAGGAAATTTATCGTTATCGAAATTTCTGACTTATTGAGAAAAAAATTCCCTTGTCAATAAATTTGCTAATAAAAGAATAAAAAGATGTGTGAAGGTTGGCAACGTTCGCGTCCCACAAAATGGTAAATGGCCTGTATTTGATATAGTGCCTTCTAGAGTCCTGGAACCCCCCAAGGTGCTTTACAACACAGTCAGTCATTCACCCATTCACACACTGGTGGTGATGAGCTACAATGTAGCCACAGCTGCCCTGGGGCGCACTGACAGAGGCAAGGCTGCCAAGCACTGGCGCCACTGATCCCTCCGACCACCACCAGCAGGCAAGGGGGGTTAAGTGTCTTGCCCAAGGACACAACGCCAGCGACGGACCGAGCAGGGCTCGAACCTGCAACCTTCCGTTTACGGCGCGAGCAGTGAACACCGTCGCCAAAAGAAGCTGTATCGAAATGTGACTCAACTTAATACGTGACAGCCCCATCTAGTGGACAACTTTAGTTTCTGCACATACCTGTAGTTATCGCCAATTTATCGTTATCGAGATGAAATCCTCAATATATGGTGATATTGATTTTAGGCCGCATCGCCGAGCCCTAGTAAAATGTGAAAATATTGAATTGATATTCAGTTTTTCTAGTTTGAGATGATCATGAAACAAACACCCCCTTTTCAAGCCTGCAGAGGTAGCTTTCCTATTAAATAAGACGCATTTAAAAAAGACAGCCTGTTTAACTCTGTTTCTTTAGTTTATCACACTTGCACCTATGCAGTATGTCCCCCTCCCCCTGCGTATTCCTCAGCATTGAGGAAAGTTGTGTCTTATACTGCAGAAAGTGGAAGAATCCTTTTACACTCTGGTACGGGAGATCAGGCTGTACCGGGTCAATAAGCTCAGCAAGGAAGAAAAGACTCCAGGCTGTGTCCACCTTAAAAAGTGTGTTTTGATGTGAGAGGGGTAAGTGCACGCAGCCGCGCACCCACGAGCTCAGCTCTGTTTGTGTTGTTAGTGGGACTTCTGGAAAAGGCTGTGGAAGTGAGCGCTGGTGCTTTAAATTGTTTTTCTCAAAGCTAACCCGCTGGTTTCATGGAGGGTTATGGTGAGGCTCTAACACCGGACTGATTCCTTCCTCTTTCGGTGTGTCTGTGGTTGATTATTATCCAGGACAGCTTTCACACTGGGTTCATTTATTCTCTGAGCCGCTTTGATCGACCCCTTCTGAGGCGCTTTCACACGTGTTTCGCACACTTTTACATCATTCTTTCCTCTTGTTGGTGCATGGGCCAACCCCTCTTTCTACAATGAAATTATAGAGCAAATTAGGGCTGCACGATATTAGGAAAACCTGCGATGTTCGATAACAGTGCTTAATATTGCGATTTCGATATTACTTGCGATAAATGAACAAATACTAAAGTATGCAGTGTTGATGTCGTCTGGCGTGTGACGTCTGCTCTGGGTTCAAAGCAAACAAAAACTAATGCATGAATTCCATTACAACATAACATTTTTATTGCAAAAATATGCAGCTGCACCTGCTACTGTATTGGCAGCAAAACGACAAACTGCATGCATGCAGTTTCTCAGTGACTTTAAAACATCACCACCACCATAGAACATTTACTGATGCTCCAAATACAGAAAAACATCCCTTACCAGGGTTTTTGAATAAATAAAAAAATCTGAAAGTAAGTTTAAATGTTAAATAATAGTCAACATCACTTAAATGCAACAGCAAATTCTCTCATTGCTACTGAACATTTTCTCCACTAATGTGGTTATGATATAAGGCTGTTGCTGTAATTGGGAAGTGATCTGTCCTGGGCCAAACTAGGAGAATATTAAGATTTTTTGAGGGAAAGAGAAAAACAATTGTCTGCCTTTCAGAAGAGGAACTGGCAAAAAACTACAAGGAAAATATGTGAAAACGTTTGTTTTTAACCCCAAATTGAACAAGTTTACCTAGATCTTAAAAAGCAGCTCAATATTTTCCAGGCCCTCTTTAGCAGGAGAGTGCTGTAGCCTTTTAGCTGGAAGCTAACCGGAGCCTGGGGCTAACATCACCACCCGGTGGAACACTAACAACATGAAGGTGGATTGGTTCACTGGCACGTTTCGGAGTCAACCCGTTGAAATGATTAACAACACCGAGCGGACTCACGTTCACGTTTGAAAGCAGCGCTGATTCCAGAAACCTCAGCACAAAGTGCGTTCGTTGCTCTGAGCCAGCATGACGAACAAGGGAACGGCACCGCTAACTCAGTTCGGGTGATGCTTTCATCCTAATGGTCTACGTAGGGGGCGGGCGTATTACGTGAACTGACCCATCTGATTGGCCGCATATCAGAAGGGCTACATTTGATTGGTCGAATAATACTTCCGCGTAAAAAACAGAGCTGGTTTACAAAAAGCTGATGTATGACACAGATGGAAATGTTTGAACCAAACATTTATCGCTGTTTTTGGCGTGCTTTGCGATGGGCCTATCGCACGTCCTGTTATCCCGATGACGATAATTTTTCTATATATTGTGCAGCCCTAGAGCAAATTAATAAAAAAAAAACCTCTGGTCTGAGTTTGTTTAGATCAAATACCCTTGTGATCAGAGCGGTGGACAAATCTGTTCCTAAATCAGACCGAACTACCAGTGTGAAAGTGTCCAAATGGGCTGAAATCAACAGGAGCGCAGGAGTTTTGGGCTGTTGGTCAGCATTTGTGATTAAAGGATATTATTGTAAATGTGGGACTAAATCATGCTGAAATGTCTAAAACTTGTGTGTAAACATGTCTGGCAAACGTGAATCCTTCCGTTTTTGTTCTTTTGTTGCTCTGCTGTCTTTGTGACGACTTGACTCGCCATCAGGCTCTGTACCCAACTGTTATTGCAGATTATTGTCGCATTGTATTATGTTGCGACAATGTTTTATCCCCCAGACACCAGCTGCATTGACATAAAGCCGTCTTTTTCCTCAATTAGCATAATTAAAAGTAGGAGGGGAATCAGTTTGAATCCATTTGACATAAGAAATAATAACCTCTTAAAGCGTAATTGATTAAACACTTGTCAGAAATGTACATATTAACTATTTGTAAGCTAATACTCTTGATTACATGACTAAATATTGGATTTAATCTAGTGACAAAACTATACAAGATAAAAAATAAAAATTGTACATGCCAGCTGCGTGCAGTACTTAAATCCTCCACTAGAGGGAGAAAGAAAACAGGACGTTACTAGAGATGATTCGATCACATTTATTGCCCCCAAGCCAAGTCTGAGTCATTTGATTTAGAGAATCTACTGATGCCAAGTCCCAATCCAATACTTTTAATTATTTTATTTTATTTATATATGTATCAGTGTGCTTTTCTTAGTTTATCTGACAAACATCAATCATTCAGGAAGTACGTTGATTAAAAGTGTGTTAATATTATGACTGTATTTAAAAGTAACCTCATCACTCATATTGTGTTTCAAATTATTTATTTCCCCCTCAGTATGTTGAGCGCTGCGTGAGAGTGACTCGCTCTTTCTTACATAACACCTTTAACTTGTACCGCGGCTCCAGGAGAATGGGAAACCTGGCGTTTTTCTGTCCGTAGACATTTTGTCTTTAACGTAACTCTTCGTTGACTGGCCCTTTGTTTTTGTCAGATTTGCTGCAGTAAACTGGGAGCAATAGCAGTGGACTAGAGCTTAATGGAGACAGAAGAGTCGCTGTGGTAATGCCTGAATGCAAATGCCGAAAGACAAAAAAGTTTGTTTTTAAGTCGGCGTTTCATGCAGCTCTGTCTGTTCCAGTTTGCCCTCGCTACAAGTGGCTGTTGCCTTCAATATCCGATTTATAATTTATCCCAACTGCAGATGTTTTCACTCTCCTGAAGCGACGTGTTGGTGTAGCTAACATGATATCCCCACATGTCATAGATTGTGTGACGGTACGTGTTGTCGTCCAAGAAACAAGAATGTTGATGTAGAGGGACTTGTTTAAATTAAAACTAAGTTATTGGTATTCTGTTTGAAGATCTCAGGATGAATTTAAAAGGTCATCTCTTTTCCACCCGATTCTGCTCGTTTTAAAATCACTTTTGATTGAGCTCGATTTAATTCGGCAGATTTTTGTGGAAATTACCGAGGTCTGCCTCCTAATAATAAACATCTAGTATAGTGAAAGCTTTCCCTTTCATAATTTACCCCCGCATTTGCACTCTTCTCTGTAGTGAATATTTCTTTTCTATTAAAATAAAATCCTATATATTTTTAAAGCGCTAACATTAGGATTCACCCACAGCAACAAATGACACTCCTCCGTTTTAGATCATTAAACGTTTTTCAGGAGCAGATGAAGCATTTGTGGGTTGACGTCATTCACAAAGGAGAGAGAACTTGGCTTGTGTAAATGCAGCTTCTGTTTGTTCTGCTTCCAAAACTAGTTTCTATTTTTTTCTTTTCTCAAATCAGTGTTTTATTTGTGTAATACTCCATTCCTCACGTAATCACGGCGTACAAATCTAAAACATTTAGATAATTCCAGCTTTGGAGTGAAACTTGTTCATTTGAACTGCTTTCTGTGTATTTGTTTTTGTTTGCAGGGTGTTGACGACGCCTTTTACACGTTAGTTCGAGAAATCCGGAGGCACAAGGAGAAGATGAGCAAGGAAGGCAAAAAGAAGAAAAAGAAGTCCAAGACAAAGTGTATACTCATGTGAATAACCGGGCCCTTCCAAGACAGACTAAAACAAAACAACAGTTCCAGTAATACGTTTTGTACATTACACTAAATTATTAGCTTTTTTCCTCACTTACCCCCCTTAACAAATACTAAACCCAACCAGAATTTTCAGCCCCTCCTTTTTTCTTATTTGGGCACCAGTAAGCTTCATTCTCAGTGTAGTGCCAGATGCTGAAGTGAGACAGCTCTTTAGAACAATTTGGATGGTTTCAGATGAATGCAGAACTGTGAGCTAAATGAGGAAAAAACCGAAACGTTTTAACACGTTTTGCTTGAAATGCCACAATCTGCAAATATGCCCTTTTTAAAGATGGGATGCCAAAGAATGAATATTCATCCCACTCAGAGAGACAAACAGATGTGAGGAAGGACCGATGGTTCAGCCAGAGGAAATGTCCCAGCCACTGTGTGATCCCGTCATTCTGACCTTTAGGTGTGACTTAGTTTTGCCACTGATGCATGCAACATCCTGCTCCTTTCTGAATGTTTTATTACCCTAGTTAGCCATTAATGAATTATTTTGAATTAGTCATTGCTTTATTGTGTGGGGACTGATTTTCATGCCTAAATAAGTAGCAGCGTTTGTTTTTGCATGCATTGTGTCATTAACGACATGTGTGTCGCAAACTGCCTCTGATAACAGAGCCAGCACAGAGGACTCGGTCCGATGTTCAGGTTTAATAAATAAATGCATTTGTGAGAGGAAAATCTCATTTATTTGATAATGAATTCTAAGATCATGATTTTTTTTGTTGTTTTGTCAATTTGTTGCAGAGATTTAAGCCACTTTTTGGCTCTACTGTATATTTGTGTCTAATGATCCTGACAGATTTCATTTAATTTCGTATGTAACTAAAAAACATCTGCATACTCCCACCGGAGGGCGTCAGCATTGAAACCAAACGTTTGGTTAAACGTAAATTTGTCTGTGGGAGAGTGAGTTATCATTGTTTGTTAGCTTCAGGCTGCACAGACAGCAGAGAGCAACTGTTTGGTTGTGAGATAACTCGACTTGTTCTGGTCTTTTCATCCTAATAATAGTTTCAGATTGTTTATTAAACCGAGGTTTTGAAACTGTTTTAAAGACTAATGTGCAGAAAAGTTTGAGATGACGTTGTGTGGCCCGACTTCTAACAGAAACGATCGTGAAACATTGTGGTGTAATTGGAAACGATGTGTTTTAAAAATTTTTTTTTTAAATGAGGCCAAAATGACCATGAAATAAGTTTTTAGGCAAAACTCTCTTAAAGAAAAAAAGTCCCCCATGTGTCAGCCCACATTTCATCCCTCATATCTATATTTGCAGATTGTTTGCTTTCTAATTTTTTGTTAGTTTCCACATTTAGACATTAAAAAAAGATGTAAATTAATTCTTTTCAGTAAAGAAATGCAGAAAATATACAGTTTGAGGAGTGAGATGCTCTTTTCAGAGTGGCTTTTAGAATCGGTGAGTTTATTTTTACCCCTGTTTGGTTTTTCATGAAGTGGACAGTTAAATGAATTTTACTTTAAACTCTCCTGCTAGCGATACTGTTTCAGAAGTAGCTTAACTGTATGTTTGAAATGACCCTCTTCCTTTGCGTGCCAACAGCTGATTTCTGAAATGTATCATTTATACCTTGAACGTATTTTCAACCTTTGTATAGTTGTGATACAGAAAGGGGGATTTTTGTTTTCTTTTTGTAAATTGTGCCTCATTATGTTGGTGTGTCTAATGAATGTTGCTTTAATGGAGTTCCTTCACTCAGCTCTGTTTATGTGATTAGAGAGAGTGACTGGGTCCAGGTCTGGGGTCATACTGAATGAACGACCGTTTTACTGCCTGCCTGACGTGGGCGGTGTTGTCTAGAGTGGTGATCTGATCTCAAATGAGTATTTTTTGCCATAAATCTCACCACTCCTATTTAATGTGTAATAAAGAACAAAGTAAAGGGGAACCCACTTTTCTCTCTTAATGGCTTCATCCTTGTCGCTTTTAGTCTCATAAAAACCTGAACAATCCATGAGATTGTTCTTCAAATGTTTGGTGATTTCTGCAAAAATACAATTATTCTGCATTTCTTTGTTAGTACTAATGTCCGCCAGCAGGTGGCACTGTTTACCTACCTTTATCAGTTAAAGTCAACTGGTAACTTTTTAAAAGTTCATTTTTCCAGAATCAACCTGGAAAAAATGAGGAAAAAAATAATTTAAACATCAGTACATGCAGAAAATAGATAAAAGTATTGGTAACACTTTACAAAAAGGGTCCCCTTATTAACATTACTTAAATTATTAAGGATTAGTAAACAAAGGATCGCTTTATTAACTTTGCTGATATTAACTATTAAGTGTCCTTAAGGTTAGGACAAAGGACCAGTGGGGTTGTTGCTCAGTAATGCCTAATAATATATTAACACTAGTTGATTAAAGCTTAATATTGCATTAAGTAACGTTAATAAAGGGACCCTTATTCTAAAGTGTTACTAATTTATTTAATATTTAAATTTTATCTTCATTCATATACCGGATGTAAAAAAAAAGATTACAAAATAAAACAATGTGCCTTTAATAAGCTACTAAGTAAATAAAAACAATATTAATATTAAGCATATTAAACTAAAATAGTTTAAAAAATTCATGGGGTCTTAAATTATTGGTGGTGCCTGATGAGAATTAAAAGCTATTCCATAAATAATCAATACTAATACTAAATGTGACTCAACTAATGTTTAATTCTTTCTCAGCAAAAGTTCACAACGCTGACCTGAAGTCACCTCCAGACAACATCAGACATAAAGTAATTACAAAAAAGGAGCTGCTACTTGGTGCTAAAAGAAGGGAAATGAGTCTTTAGTGATTTTTTTTTTACTTCTTGGCATAAAATTGTATATATTTAGAAAAAAGAGGTGAGACACAATTTGTAAGTCGCTTGCATTCTTAGAAAACAACAACACAGCTAACCGTGGAGGGAGCAAGGAGCTGTGCAACAGAATTATGGACACCGAGTTGTGTTAAATGTCAGAGTGGCCTTGACTTTGCAAATTGTAAACTTTTTAAAATCTGAGTTTATCATATTTCACATGAATTTATTACTGCTATCATATTCAGGTTACTGGAAAATAGGTTATAAGAGGGGGAAAGAAACTAAACAAAATCAGAAAAGCTTTTTCAAACATTAGCCTGATAGCAGTGTGGGATGTCAGGATATGCTGGAACTGATTTAGTGTGAACCCAGATGAACAGGTATTAATCAAAGACAACAGTAACTGTGTTTTTAAAGACTGTTTAAGAAGCTTGTCCCTTTGGAATAAAACACAAACATCAAAAAGCAACTGGAGGATCATTATTATTCTTCTTTAACGCAATATGAAGAACTTTATAAGCTCATTTATTCATGTTAAGCATTAAACAACACAGAAATCAACTCCAGAGATGCTTAATTCAGCTGGTAAAAGTAATTCTCGACTTTAAATGAGAAGCCATAGCCCCCCCCCCCCCCCCCCCCCCCCCCCTGCTGTTGGATCTGAATACTAATACAAGGCTAAAAACTTGAAAGAAATTCCGTTTGCTTTCAAATTAGTGTGCAAATTCAGGCTTTTGCTTTTTTGCATATCCGTAGAAGTTCCCCTAAGGCATGTTTGGTTCAATTCATCCGTTCTTCTCCCTCATAAAAAGCTCATCTTTGTACTGTGGTTTCATCAACCTTTCTGTCAGAGGAAACCTAACTCTTGATCAAAAAGATTCATCTTTACAGAAGCTGATGGGTAATAATAAAAGAATGCTTGCAAAAGCTCAAAAACAGGACGAGGAAAGTACAGAGGCTGGTGATAGCAGAGCTCAGAACAACTAGAATAAATGTTATTTTATCATAAACTAAAAACATTGGAAACCAAAGCCCTGGCAGTTTTGTGTCTTTGGAGTGGTCAGCCTAGAGGACTGGCTACAGGGGATTGGGAGGGTCGAGGTCCAGCACCCAGCATGTTTTACTGTTTTTCTGCTTCAACACACTTGATTTTAATCAGCAGGTGATTAACAGCCTTCTGCAGAGCTTGATGAGCTTCTGAACAAGTGACTCGAGTGTGTTGGATAAGGGAAAACAAACATGCTGGATGCCGCCCAATGAGGAAGGCGGAATGGAATCCTGGTCCTCGAGTGCTGCTATCCAGCGTGTTCCATTTTTAAAACTCCTGATTCATTGGTTGAATCACCTGTTCATCACCTGCTGATTAAACTCCGGTGTGTTGGAACAGAGAAACAACTAAAACACGCTGGAGAGTGGCACTTGAGCACCAGGATTGCCTACCCTTGGTCTAGGGCAGTGGTGCTCAGTTCCTTGAGAGCCACATTTCAGTTTTAACTCTTTTTCAACACACCTGATTTCCATAAGCAGGTAAATTACAGGCGTCTGCAGAGCCTGATAAGCTGTAGCAGAGGTGATTCAGCCACAGAATCAAGTGTGTTGGAGTAGAGAAACCACTAAAATGTGCTGGATACTGGCCCTCCAGGCCTGGAATTGAGTATCCCTGGTCAAGGTTGACTGCAAGGTTTGGGTTGGTGGCACCTCGCTGGGCGTTCGGGTGCGTCATAGCACACACAGGGTTGGCCTTGTGTTGGGGCATTGATGTTATGTTGGGGGCTCCTGCTTTGGCGTTCCTCCACGTGTTCCCTCCGGCTGGGAGATGGTGTCCCCTCATTCTCTGGCTGGCTCCCCTTCTTCCCCGGGGCCCGTGGTTATCCCCTGGACTTGCTGATGGCTGTCCGTCCTTTGAGGACTGCCAACTACCTTGGCACACGTTATTGTTTTTATCCCCCTTGTCTTTTCTCTCTCTCTCTCCCTCTTTTTCCTGCTTGTCCACACTGTTGACCAAAAATGTCAACTGCTCAACAGGAGAAGTATCTCAAACATTTCCTGTTGTAGAGTAAATCTGCTCAGGCGGATGCCCAGACCAACCATACTATCTGCTTAAGCTGTCAGAACAGGACAGGTAAAAAAAGAATAATTCTATCTTGAGAAATGGCTAGTGCTGTGAAGGTCTCTCATGTGCTACAACCACATCATCCCCCCCAATTTCTGTAAAACTGATTTAGTTATAGCTCTTTTTTTCCAGTTTGCTAATGCACGTCTAATGAAGGCATTCTGAAAGTGCCAATAAAACCATTAAACCACGATGAAGCTGTGCAACAATTACATTTTTCTAGACATTCTGGACACAACACAATGCACTGTTACAAAGTATTGCAGAGGTCAACATGACACAGTACAGGTGCATTTTCTTTAAAAGTCTTGACTTTATCCACAGCCACTGTGACAGTTTGCCCTCTGGCTTTGACATGCGGGATTGCGTGCTGAAGGAAATGCTTGTTTAGTCATTTTTTTTGGTAAAGCAGGATGTCAAAGATCAGATATTTCCATTGCAGATATCCAGGACGTAAATGCCACCGAGGTCTTGAAAAGAGACAGTATACAAGCTTCAAAAGGACAGCATGCGCTGCCGAGGTAATTGGCTGCAAAACAGCATTCTGTGGAGAATTCCTGTTTTAGATTGCAGGCTAACAGACAACCTTTTTTTACTAGATGCTTTGCTAAACTCATCAGAAATTACTCTTTTTTTGGCTGTTAACTATTATATAAAGATAAAAGGCGAGCATTTAAAGCTCCTTCAATAGCTCATTTCAAAAGAAGTTAATTTGTTTCCAAACTGTTGCTTTGAACAATAAACTATGTTAACATATTGTGACAAGCTCCATTACTCTGTCTTCCAAAACAATGGAGCTACGGTGCCTGCCACACAGCAGCCAAGAGTGAAAAAGAGGAGAGATCTAATGAATTATGCAGAGAGGGCTTTCTCTCAGCCTGACAGTCTGAAACCTGCCTGGAGAAAATTGTAAGAGAAGTACGAGTCAGTGCAGCCATCACAAATCCCCCCTCCCCTTCCCCCTGGGGACCGTCAAGGCCAAGGCCTGTCAGTCAAACACCCTCTTCCTAAACTGTAATCTGGGGACAGCACTTAGAAGCCTGCAGGTGCGATAAGGCGCCGAGAAGATGCACCAGAAGCCATCAAAACTACGAGCCGCGTACGGGGAGAAAGTTGGTGAAGGAAGAGACGCAGCAAGTGGTCTTACATTTCCAACGTCAAACCACCCAGCCCAGCAGATCATCTCACCACAAAATGACTGCTGAAAGCTCGTTCACAATCGCTAATTCTGACCCCTCAGAGCATGCGCAGAGAAGTGAACTCACAACCAACCATGACTGCATCACCTTTGCCTTGTTAGTGCACGGAACAGGAGAATTTCCTTTTTATTTTAATGAAGTGTGGCTTCCCTCACTGGCAGGCAGCTGAGCGCAGGGCAGCAAGAGCACAGTCTGGTAATGAGAGGCCAGAAGGTTTAGGTGTCTTCAAACCGCTACACATTGAAGGGACTTAATACAGACGTGTTTCCAGCAGCCCCGGAGGAAACGGAGAGCCGGATGAATATTCATGGAGCCGTGATGAATTGTGTTGCCTACAGCATCGTGCCACTTTGAAAGCCCGCTTGCTGCTTCTTTTATCACAGGAGGTCCTTGGCACTGAACCTCATGGGCCACAACACAGCGCTTCAGCCTCCAACTACCAATTATCATCTGAGATCATTAACTTGTTATGTTGACACAAACACTGCAATTTCAGATGCCCCTCTTTATTCTAATGACCTCGTTCACGAGGAGTGGCTGGTTGAGCTGATTGGATTTTTCCCCCTTCCTGCATGTCTCGCAATCATTCAACAAGTTTTGTTTGGACACAAAATTAATGATCCGTGTGCAATACTTTGAACTGTGTGCACACTGCGGTTGGGGGGATGGATAAACAGGTCTTTCTAATATCTTTCAGAGTGTGCATCAGCATAAACTGATACAGTAATGGTGTGATGTTGAATGCTCGCTTCACTCAGGCAGAATTCCCCTCCTAATGATGGTG